GCGGTGCGTCGGTTGGTGGAACGATTCCCGTTCTAATGGACGTTATGGAGGTTCCCATGGTCCCCCCATCTCTATTCACCATCCCCTTCTGGATTACCCTCTGCTTCTCCATCGTCCTCTCTCTTCTCTCTGCTGGATTGCTGTGCCGTGCCACGTGGTTGGCTTGCTCTCACCCTCTGCTTGTCTGCCCAGCAAGCCCGCCCCTTCCATGTATACCGAGCTTAGCTGGATCAGCGTTTTGGTTAACTCTTCAGGGTGTTGGTTTTCTTGTATTGTTATTGGCGTGGCTACTTTGGCATGCTCCCTCCCCCGTAGTCTGTATAGTCTCCCATGGCTGCCATAGTCCCCCGACGATTCCTCTCTGAAATAGGTTGGATTTGTGGTTTGCCGCAATAAGCGGTAGCGGGTATTATTGCCACCCTTGCCTGTGGAGACGATTCGGTTAATTGGTAGTATTGCGCCTGGGTAAGGACATGATTACTTGGGACGGTTGGTGCTGGGGGGGGCTTTGCTGTGGATGCCCCGCGCACGCATAGGAGGTTGAGTTCTCGAGGGATCTGCCCTTGTGATTAGTGAACTCCGATGGGGATGATGATATGAGGAGTGCTTGGGTACTAAGGGGAGTCGGTGTTTGTTGGGGTGACTGTGTGCTGCGGAGGATTCTTTCGGGTGAACGACCACCCGTGTGTGGATGCGAAGACCTTGTGTTTTGGGACTGTCACGTTGATGATCGAGTGAGGGTATGCAGGGCGGGGGCTCCGTTGCTGACGAACATTATCTAGGATCTTGGTGTGTTGGTGCGGGATGGTGGGGTGACTCTAACTGGATTTGGCGCTGTAGTCCTCATCTGGGTGATGATCAACTAGTCATGGTACTATGTCCCTTCTCGATTTGATGATTGCTCTCTGGTACATCTTCGGAGGACTGTGATTGTAATGGCGTGCTGCTTTGACATCGGATCGGATGAGAGTTTCCCATATGGACTCGTATGGGGCCTAGTGAAGGGCGTCGCTGTGGGTTGCTTTGTGGTGAATGCTTTCTTAGCATGGATGCTGCTGTGACGACCCCATTCCTTTCGGGGGAGCTCCCCTCGCTTGTTCTGGTCTTCATGGTAGGGTTCGGCATAGACGATGCTTGACTGTAGGATAGTAGGATCATGGTTCTCCCTTGTGGGGTGCTCAATTAGCCTTTTTTTCCAAGAGGAGAAGCCTTTCATTTAGGTTGTTGGTTATCTGCGTTACTTGCCACGGAGGGATTGATGAATCGGTGATGTTATACTGTGACTCCGTCCTGCTTAGTCGGTTGCAGGGCATCTCTAGTATGGCGGCGTCGAAGGGGTAGCTTGCTCCACTTGGTTTCGACCCCGGGTCCCTCGTAGTGGTGTTGAGAGGCGAGTCTTGCTGTTCCTGCTCGTTGTGGGGTCTGTGCCCGCATGCGTCTTTGGTGCTGGAGGTCTGTGATGATGAGCGGAGACGTTTGAATCGATCTTGCCACAACAGCATATTGTTTTCTTCGGTGTTTTTCGTAATCACCCATTTGCAGGAGTGTGATGACGTCCTTTTTGAAGCAATATGGTGTAAATCCTTGCGTCGTGTCAATAGTAGTAATGCTATTTGCTTTCTGCATTGATCACCTGCCGTGTGAACTTATGGAGTCGACTATTTTTGCGCTATGTTTTTTTCTTCAATTTGTATGGAATTCTCTTCTCAGGGATTACTCCCGTCCTGATGATCATAGTAGATCAGTGAGAATGAGCTGATTAACTTATGAAGAGTGTACGAGCAAACCGGGGGTGTTCTCTGGCCTTTGCTTGACCTCCCCTGTTTGTCTATTGCACTCTGCCCTACTTAATGACAAATAAATCCCCCCTCACCTGGGCTTGCTTGTTGTTAGGATTTGGGCTCGTCAGAGTCCCGTGTCTCCATGGATAGCTTTCTGTGCCTGGGTGTTTTGATGTATCCCCGTGGCTTGAACATTCCGCATTATGGCTATGGGACAGGCTCTGCCTTTGCTCTTTCTTGTGTCAATCTACCACCATCATTCTTGGCGACCTCCCTGATGTAATGCGATGCTTTTTAAGGTGTTGTTCATATAAGTGCGAATCGTGACGCAACATGCTGTGACACAGTCACAGGAGCCTCGCAATAGAAACATAACACACACACAAAGGAAAAAAAAACGAAAAAAAAAGGGATGAAAACGGTAAAACGAGTTAGAATTTGCATATGGACTGGCTGGTGAGGCTGCCAGGAGGTCCTCCCCCCCCATTCACAGGATCCACATGCTGGGTGCCAGGGTGCTGCCAGTAAGCTTCCCGGCCAGCCAGTGTACCCTGTAAATGTGTCATGGTTTGGAGGGAGGACGGCCGAAGCAACCCCCCTTTTGCATAAGCGACTAGAGCTGCAAGGGTGGCCGTATCTGACTCTTGTCCGATCTACTCTTTCTTGTATTTTCAGTTGTATCTCACGTACATTTGGCTTGTCGGTGATGAGCAACCGGACTGATGCCCCCCAGAAAAGATGGGGCTTTGTTGCTTTGAGAAAAAAAAAAGTACCACTCCTTATCCCTTCGAGCTCCCTGGCTCCTTCCTTGTTGGGTCTTGGGTTGGTATCGCTGCTCTGGGTACAACCCGATCCCCTAGTGGGGAGGGTAATTGCTTACAACAACCCACGTAATACTACCTACTCATGCCATTCCCGTTCGCTCTTCACTGGATCTGAGCTCGTACCTTGATTTACCTTCCCTCCCTTATAAAAACCCGATCCCCAAGTGGGGAGGGCAAATGCTGTCCAATTTTTGAATAACGTAGTATCAAGTCCATCCCTTTCAATTCTTTATCTTTATCATTCCCTCCTCTCCCTTATTTGGCTACCCTTCTACACGTGACAGATTGTCAGGAGTAATCCTATCCCCCATCTCGCACGCTTCTCTTTGCTTTCCCCCTGATCTGTCATCTTAAGGGCGGGGAGAATCCCCCCCCCCCCCCAAGTGGAGAGGTCAATTACTGTTCGAAATTTCGTTTTCTTTAGATCACGAGTTCCTTTCCACCACACACATCCCTTCCTTCGCTTTCTTTGGCTATTAAGTCGCGCTCCCTGAATTTGTGATTAGTCGGATCCGGGCGGCATAACCTCACCCGGTTGTAGATCTCGTACCTGTTTTAAAGCCGATCCCCAAGCGGGGAGGCCAAATGCTACCAAAATTTTCTCACAAAAAGGCTCCCCAGACGTGATCTCAACCGTATTCCCATCCTCGACCCCAATCCCCCGTATCCTCAACCCCGTCTGATTCCGTCACGCAACCCAACTCCATTCGAATCCATCATCGAACCCAACTGCTCTCAACCCAATACTGCCCTGTTCCCATCCCCATCCCACCTAAACCTTACCTCGACCAAGTTCCGAACCCTCCCCAATCGTACTCCTCCCGTCCCTTACCAACTCCATACCAACCCCGGCCACAATCCGCTCCGATCAAGACCCGTATCTCGAGCATTCCTTCGCATTCCCACGTCCTCACTCAGAACCCGAGCGGAAGTTAATCCTCCCGTTCCCCTCTCACTGCTCAACTACAAGCGGCCCCACCCGGGCTCTATCCCGTTCTCGTCGGTCGTTGCATCACGRCTTCTCTCCTTAATCTCGTCTTCTTCCCTCGTCCTATTGCAAGATCCCAAACCCAGTTCTCGCCCTTCTCTCAACCCCCAGCCCCCCCTCCCGTGTCCGATCAAGGCCTCCCCCCCCCTCTCGCCAACTGGATCGAGACTCCACCAGCTTCCCGTCGTCACCCCACCCGCGCCTGCTTCCCGATCCCAACATCTCCCCTTCTTTTTCTTTCCCCTTTCAATCTGTATCGTTCTCAACCTGTCCTTTGTCTCTAACCCCTTTTCGTCCCCTCTCGTCCCATTGTAAACCACCCCCTAACCACCTCAGCCCCCATCACCAATCCTCTCCAATCCTTTCCTTATTTCCCCGACCCCAGCTCCTCCCCTCCCGCCACTCACATCTGGTTCCCGTTCCCCACCTCCCTCACCCCCCCCCCCCTTTTCCNCCCCCCCCCCCCCCTTTTCCTCTTCCCACCTAACTTCTGTCCTCTTTACTTTCCCTTTCGGCACACCTCATCACCCCTCCTCCGCACTTCCTCAGTTCGAGGATAGGCCACATATAGGGACACGGATACAATCCCCCGCGGCCAACGATGGCAAATCCAACACAGGGCTCTGGTCCAACAGAACAACCAGGAACGGAAAACACTTCCAACATCATAGACAACGAAGCTCTTAAGTTTTTGATAGAGAAAACGAAGGTACAGGGAATCGAGTCGTTGGGAAAGCAGATTGTGGATGGCAGGAAAGAGGAAGTGATCATATGGAAGTACCCAGAAGAAAAGATCACTGAGTTGGACGACCTACATGAAAAACACGGAGTAGTTTTCAACTACGCTCGCCATGGGGCAGAGCTCCAGCCAGCAGAAAAACGGAAATGGGTAGTTGAAACGATCAGAAAGGAACCCAAATTGAATCAGATTGGAGACTTGTTTTCGCTGTAGAGCCTGGGCCGCAACAGCATCATGGTTCTCTTCAACCACGAGGACCATGCAAGGATTGCTGCTGAAATGCAATCAAGGAACTGCCACGGCTCAGTTTGCACGATTACCAGATGGAAAAAACGTACAGTCCAAAGGCAGAACCCTGTGTTTGCGGTTTCCTACAAACAAACCCTGATGAAAGAGAATTTCTGGGTACAATTCGACAACATTCAACCGGGCTTCCATGGCATGTTGGTCGACAGATTGGAAAGACAGTACACAGCAAACAGAATCCTGAAATGGATCTTACCGACACCAGAATTCCTGGCACCTCACTGCGGATCTATGACAGCGATTCTAGATGTTTAGACGGACGATCCCCCCGTTTTTCCACTGGTTTGGAAATTCCAAATCGAGGAAAGGTTGATTGAAATAAGGATCTCGACCAGAACCTCTCCAATCTGTTTTCGCTGCAGAGAGAGAGGCCATATGGTGACAGATCCCTCATGCCCCAAGTTTTCGAAACAAACAAAAGAACGAAAACTCCTACCAAACATGTTGGTGGAAGTGGAAGATGCACCTGGAATCTGGTTCGTGGCTGATTCATCATACGATGGTTGGGTCTTTGATGACAATCTGGACGAGCTAGACTGGGTGTGGCATTTTGGCGATCAGAATCCTTCTGTCAAAAAGCCAGACGTCTTCCCCCCAGCAGACAGTAGGTGGCAAAAGAAGGCAACCGGAAAAGTGAGATGTAACCCGACAAAGATCAACACCAACCCCATCACAGATTCACGGGTTATCAGGGAGGAGAAAGCAAGAGAAGATCTATTGTGGGACCTTGACACCATCAGAGAACAGATTGAACAAGAATTCAATAAGGAACCATCTGCTTTTAAGGAAGCACTGAAACAAGCAGAACAAGTGGATCTGCAAACATACAAGAGAAGGGACAAAGCTCAAGCCGACAACAAGCGTCAGCTACAAGAGGACGCTGGAGCATCTGAAAAGGGAACGGGCCCAAAACGAAGGAAGTCGGGGGAGTCAACGAAGGTATGGGGACTGAAACACCAGAAAAAGGGATGACATGAGAAGGGATGGAGATGGACTCAACAGGCGGCGAGGCTGACAACGAAGCAGGAGGGAAGAACAGCACACCAGACGTTGGCTCCACAGAAGGAGAGGACTAACTTGGCTCAGAGACTATGTGGAAAAGGCGAAGAGGGAACGGGAGCATGCCTTTAATGTACGGGTCGCCTGCTTGAAACATGCAGAGAGACCCCAGGTGAATGGTAAGAAAAATGCAATTGCGGGGATCATCAGCTCTTCAAACCAATACGAGATGCTAAAAAAGGAGAGAGCTGAGGAATTCTCTGAATTTGCTGCTTTCAAGTATGCAGAAAAGAAAAGGGCAAGGGACCAAGGAACAGTGGACAAAGATAAAACCATTCCCACAATCAACGATAACCTTCGGGATCTGCGCCCTGAGGCAAGGAAAACGGGGAAGAACCAGAGACGGAAAGAGATTAATAATGAACGAGTTGAGGTTGAGGTGAAATCGGATCGCGCCCTACTGGAGAAAGAAGCGGCTGTTTTCCTGTCTCAAACAGAAAAACTCAAAAAATGGAACAAGGAATATGCCTCCGAATTCTCATCCATTGCTCAGATTGCACGTGGGGAGGCCCCAAGGGTGATTGAGGCGGCCAGATCGGCTCGTAGAACACTGAGGAACATCCGGCCTCTCATCACAGCCCGGTACGTAAGCAAGGCAAAAGAGTGGCAAATCACAACAGATGTAGCCTTCAAGATTCCCCACTTCATAGAAGGTGCGAACGTGATCAAAGTCTTGGAAAGGAAGGTTACAATCGAATCTCCATTGGATCTATTTGAAATTGTGCCCATTGAGGAGGATCAGAATGCTCACGACTCACACGAGGGATCAGTCATCCCCCTCAAAAGCTCAAAAGAGGTGAGCAGAAACTCTCCAAGAGCCTTCTCTCCTTTAATAGCCAAGATGCCTGAATCAACTCAGCTGAGACCAAGAATGATCTGGAAACCTTGGAGGACAATGACTGAGGTGCCCTACAACATCCTAGCAGATACTGGCATCTCAGCAGAACTGTTGGCTTCAGCAATGGCCCTTATGGTCAGCATAGGGCTAGTGGAAGGGGACGAGGACTTGGAATCCAAAGCTTTTGTCATTGACAGCGAAAGATTCTATAGGAGTGATGCCTCAGATGCAGGCTCCTGGGATGGTGATGATGAGCAAGACGGTTTGAACCAGCACCAGGAGTTGGAAAAGGGCAGTAGTGATCAGATAGAGCTGGGCGGTGCGGACACTGAGGGGGACCTCGTGCTCTCCCCTCTTACAGGCAGTGGACCAGAGATCGTCCAGGAGGCCTTGGACAGCGATACGGACAAGGGCGACCCGCATACCTAGATACCCGCTCTATCAACCGATCCCCACTACGTAAGCATCCTCGACAGGCCATCCTCCTAACTTGTCCCAGCCTCTTCCATGGAGAGCTACAGAAGGAGAGCGAATGAGGTCGGGGACCGCATCGATTGGAGAAGTCAAGGTTTGGTCCTTAGGCGTTGGAATGTGAACGGTCTAGGGAACATAATGGAGAGAGAAGAAAAATGGAACGACGTAGTGACTGGGTTATCGTTGGGCGTTAGAAAAACAGTGGACATAGTCTTATTCCAAGAAACCCACCTCACCCTTTCCACAAAACACAACAGAATTCGCTCGTTCGTGGCAAGAAAGTTAGGCGGCCTAAAGGATGAAATTTGGTCTGCCGACCCCGAAACCAGCTCCAAGGGAACAACCATCTTGATTCCCAAATCCTCCCGTCTTTACAAGGCAGGCTCAATCCTAAACAAGAGAGCCGACCAAAGTGAAGGGAGGTGGTGCATGTTACACCTGAAATGGAAGGAGGAGGGATTCTTACTATTCAACATCTATGCACCGAACTCATCATCAAAAAGGAAAATCTTCTTAAGAAACATTAAAGACTTGATCCCGCCTCTGACCCCTTGCATCCTGGCAGGAGACTGGAATGCCACGATAGACCCTGCACTAGACCGTATATCCAGGTCGCCCGGCACCCCAAATTCTTCTGAAGCTATACCAATCCAGRAATTGATGTTGGATCACAACTTGGTAGACCCTCAGAGAATCCTTCACCCAAACAAGAGAACCTTCACCTTAATTAAGAAAAATCACGCTAATCACACGACCTTTCCGCGAATAGACTACTTTCTAGTATCAGAAATCATGATGGGGGCAATCAAGAATGCTGAAGTATTATCCTTGGCCCCATATCCAGGACTGGACCACAAACCAATTGAACTGGTTTTCTGCTTTGACCAAGTGGTAAAAAAGGGAGCCAGCTTCCATAAGCTCAACAACTCCCTCCTACTGAGCCAGACCTTCCAAAGTGAGGTTTGCAACTGTTGGGAGGGTCAGAGATCCGCGCGCCTAAGCACTGACCATCGATGGGAATGGTTTCAAAAGAGCTATTCCAACCTTTCAAGCATAGTGGCCAAAGTCTCTAGGAGACTAGTGTCTATAAGGAAGCAGAGAAAGCAAGCACTAGAATTCACGTTGAATGTTGCAGAAACCAACTTAATAAATAACCCCGCCTCACCGTTGTACAACAATTTATTCGAAAAGGCACGAGAGGAATTGGCCACGTGGAAATGGTGGGACCTGAGAGGTTTCCAAATAAGAGCGAGAATGTGTGAACATGAACTCAGCGACTCTATGACAAGACACTTCTTTGCCCGAATCAAAGCAAACTCAAGAGCTACCACTATTGAAGGTCTGAGATCCCACACAACCCCGGAAATGGTGAGTTCAGATAGCGAAGGCATACTAGAGATAGCTAACAATTTCTATAAAGACCTCTACCTCTCCAAGACTGAGACTCCGATTCCCTCCAACATTAGTGAGGCAAGACATAAAATGCTACTTAGAACAAACAATATCAGCGGATCAGGCCGAAGCTCTTGACAAACCAATCACTTTGGAAGAACTACACCTGGCACTAAAAAGCATGAATAACAACAAGTCCCCTGGAATCGATGGGTTAACAAAAGAATTTTGGGAGAAATTTTGGCCCTTACTAGGACGGGACCTGCTACATTTCTACAATGACAGTTGGTCCAAGGGAGGACTGGGCAATCTTCTCAGCAACAGCGTAGTCACATTACTATACAAAAAGGGCAAGAAAGAAGATATCAGAAATTACAGACCCATATCGCTGCTAACCCTTCCTTACAAAATCCTAGCCAAAACTCTATCCAACCGGATTATCAAAATTACCAACAAATGCTTCCACATTAATCAAACCGGCTTCATCCCGAGTCGCTACATTCTAGACAATGTTATGACTCTGAACGAGTCGGTAAGAAAAATCAGGGAAAGGAAAATAAACACCGCCATTCTCTAATTTGATTTTGAGAAGGCATACGATCAAGTAAACTGGGATTTCATGGAAGCAAGTATGGAAAGAATGGCAGTGGGTCCCAATTTCAGAAAATGGGTCCGGATACTGTATAGAGATGCAGAAGGCTGTGTCCAAGTCAATGGACTACTATCACAATCCTACCCGATCTCCCGCTCGGTCCGTCAAGGAGACCATTTGGCCCCCTCAATATTTTTATTCGTAATGGAGGCAATTGCATCCTTCCTCCGCAAGGATCCATCAATTCAAAGGCTAGCCAGCACAGACATAGGATCTTCCCACCAAATGGACTTCCCAATAGCTATCATGTTCGCTGACGATTTAACGGTCCTAATCAGAGCATCTGATTCCTCCTTCAGGTCCCTAGCTAAAGCAATGGAAGCTTTCAAACTAGCCTCAAAAATGAAAATCAATTGGGGAAAGACAATCGGCTGGTGGCTATCCGAGGAGGAACCCCCCTCACTCCAAGGTGACGAGGCGGCAATGACGTGGCACACGCCGGACACACCCACCCGTTATCTGGGCATATTAATGACGAAGGAAGGACTGGCTCCCCAAATGGGCCCATCCTTGCTAACCAAACAAATCAATAAAATCGAAAGATGGGGCAACGCCTTCACGTCCCTTATTGGTCGAGCACTAGTCCTCAATTCATCGATCTTTTCAATGATGTGGTACATTACTCCCATTTGGACAATCCCCGACAGTTCGCTTAAGGAACTGAACCGAAGAGCTAGGCTCTATCTATGGACAGGAGACCCTAATAAGGAAAAAGGAATATCCAAGATCGCCTGGCACTACGTTAAAGGAAGGACAAGTAATGGAGGCCTAGGAATTATCGACCCCGGAACAGAAACGAAAGCCTTGCAAATCAAATGGATCATCAAATTACTGATGAATCCAGACAACGCATGGAATAAGCTGGCATTGGATAGTATCAGATCCGTGGCCCCAACTCCATCCCCTAATGATATGTCAGGCCTGTTTTGGGTGATGAATAAAGAATGGGTAATAAACACAAGATGCAGGAATCGAACGAGGAATAACAGGCTCAATGACCCTCGACCGCCCACACCTTACTGGCTGACATTACTCCGATCCTGGAGGAAAATACTTCCCAACAAGACAAACAGACCCAAATCTAAGGATGAAGTACTAAGACAACCGCTCTTCGGGAATGAATGGATAAAAAACGAGGCGGACAACCCTCTCTTTCTAGAACASAGATGGTTATCCTGGATCAAAAACGGCATCTGGAAAATCGACCACTTATGGGTGGAAGATAGAATGGGCTGGGTAACAGAACAAGAAATCAGCCCCSGACTGAAAGGCTGCCATAGACGAGGGACTAATCTCCAATTCATACTCAGCTGCATCCCGCAGGAATGGAAAGACATTCTGGCAAAAAACGAGCCCTGGAGACCAGGTGAGTGGGGACTAATGATTCAAAAAAAAACACCCCCGAGAGCCTTTCAATTCTCTCATTGGCAGCAGGGCTCACGCACTAAGGCTACTTTCCTCTCTTTCCCGATCTCCCCCTCCAACACGGGTTCGCCGAATATCCTGAACTGTGAAGTAGAGTCGTCTGTCTTAGAGTCATTCTTACTTCGGAAAGTAAGGGTCCTAGGAGCATGGCCGAAATCAATCTACAAGCCTGACAATACAATCCGCAACTTGGAGTTCGATCCAGCCGAATGGGCGTGGCCGCCAAGCAAGGCCTGCAACATAAAAACCAAAATCCCAATCCAAGACTACACAGTCAAACTTGGGTACAGACTGTCTCTAAAGACCAAAAATCCAGACCCTACTATCAAAAACAGATGGCGGAATCTCGTTGGGCAGGAAGCAGACAAAATCACACGGATCCACWGGGATAAATTTAAACGAATTASGCCAATCAAGATTAGAAGTCTGCAGTGGCTGATTGCTTACGCAGCCCTTCCAGTGAACCAATGGCTACATATCAGACGGAAGGCCACAGACCCCAACAGCTCGGATTTATGTACAATATGCACGGAAGGTGTCGTAKAAGACTTAGTTCACTGCCTGGTGCGCTGTAAAGAGGCTACGGAATACTGGGTCAGAGCGTCTTCACTCTGGGACTCCCTCTTCAYTTCTCCCTTCCCCGAGCAGCCCATCCAACTTCTCCTCTTGACTAACATCCCTGTCCAGGCGCAAAAGGCAGAAAGGATCTGGTTTGAACTCATCAGGAAAGTGACCCTATGGGTCATTTGGAAAGAGAGATGCAGCAGGACAATCGAGGGGAGATCCAACCCACGGGAGAAGGTGTGGATAGAAACCAGAACGCTGATACAAGCTGAGATGCTCTGCAGATGGCGGAAGATAAAACAAGCTTGGACTGATGACGAAGAACAACGTAACAAGGAGAGGCAGAAATTCTACAGGGATTGGCTGATAAATGGCAAGATTGCAGATTTGCGAGATGACCGAGTACGTTGGAGGGAGTGGCACAACTCTGTTGCAGAAAGAGGCTTTCGCCAGCAGGCATCTCCTCAGGGCATACTTGTAGCCTAGCCCTCTACAACAGGAAAAGGACACTTCCAGGGACCAGGGGACACGATCTGAGAGGATTCAAGCGAGAGAGCAGGACCATTTTGACCAGAGGCTATCAAGGGAGCACAAAGACGACCTTCTTTCAGGGGGGCTGGAAACGGACAATGCAGGTCAATGCACAATCTCGTATACTGGAGGGCCAACACAGAGGAAGGTTTTAGGGTTTAGGGTTTTCTTAAGTCTGCCCAAAGGGTCAGAGAGGTGTGCTGAGAAGACGAAGCCCGGCAAGGACATCGGATGGGAGACTAAGGNTTTAGGGTTTAGGGTTTTCTTAAGTCTGCCCAAAGGGTCAGAGAGGTGTGCTGAGAAGACGAAGCCCGGCAAGGACATCGGATGGGAGACTAAGGAAGACAGACCTAGCTCCACCAGGAATACACAGATCGAACAGCCCTACAGCCGAGAGGCAGAACTAGGAAAGCCTAGACAAGTCCTACAGACAGAT